CGGAACCATTTTATCTTTTCAGATATAAAGGACATCAGCCTGGGTCACGGGAACTGGGACTAAAGCTGATTTGAATAACCATGCAAATCAGTTGAACCCAAATGAGAAACTTTTCAATTTCATTTTTATTCCATTTTTTTTGTCTAAATTTGTTTTTACTGCGTTTCAGATAAATTCAATTAAATTTAGACAACAATAAACCGTTTTCAATGAAAAAAATAATAGGGCATATTCCAGAAAGGTTCAAGTGTCAGGAGAAGTTTAGTTTTTCTTCGGTCGGATTTGAGAAGTTCAAGTCCATCTAGGCGAAGTTTGAAAGTTTCAACTACTTTCGGCAACCAGACAAAGTTCAAGTAATTCACATTATGTGTGTGCTAAATCTTGGTAAATTTAAGACAGTTCGGTCGATGCATCTTTTATGAATTGGACGCCAGTAAACTCTTCATGACGAGTTTGTCGCCTAAAGATTGTTCTACTTAGATCCAGTCAATGTGAACAATGCGTTTACAAAGTTTTTACACTTTAGTGATATTCCAGATATTTTTGTGTAGTGTATTGTATACTGTATCAGAAAGTATTATTTCTTTATCCACATTCATGTTTCGTCGACCGCCAAATTAATCTGATATTTCAGAGTGGACTATAACTTGACGTTTGAACAAATAATCTCGATGATCAGGAAGACGACTTGAATAGCCCAACATTTTCCCACTGCGTGCTCAATGAAGGTTGTATACGAAGATACCGGCACGTGCGAATTCCGCTATCCTGTAAAGGTTTGAGTGAAGCATTATTACTTATCGATCTTATTACTTATCGATCTTAAGATCGGTAAGGATGTTGATAGGTATTTGTCTGTCTGTATGTCTGTTTTTCTGTATGTCTGTTTGTCTGTGTGTTAGATGCACGCGATATCTCACGGAAGCGAGGTTGAATCTACGAGGTGCATTCCTCATAGCTCGGATCAGAAGCCTATTGATTTTGGATGGATTATGTCTTATAATTAGCGAGTTATCAATTAATTAGTGATGGGACACACGGTGTCACTATGGAGTAATACCACTGATTTGGGGGATCCCTTAACCTTCGATCGATAAGTCTTCGGTTTCTAACCGATATTCTAGTTATTAGATTTAATAACTACATAAAATGTGACCCGTATAGCGACTGTGGAAGAAATTAAGGATGCGGGGAAAATTTGCCAAGAAAACTGAATCACAAGAAAATGTTTTTATTATTGCAATTCAAATCAAATCGCAAGTAAAAACTAGGAGAAGAAGTCAAGTAAAACAATCCATATTTGACACTTCAAAGCAGGATTATACTCCGCGTTAATAGCGCAAGAGTTCCGGGTGTTGAACCAAAGTAGAAGTAACATGATCACAATGACTGAAATGCCCCGCCTCTGTAACGGGGGTTCCACCATAGTCAAGTTTTACGAGAATGAATTTTTCAGGTGATACTACCGTAAAATAATTATTCACGGCGAAGCAACATAACAATATCATTAGGAAGTTTTTTACGTTTTTCTCAAAACTGCTAAAAATGACTTACGCAATTCGGTTATTAGCGTGACGATATATATATTGAAAAATAAAACGACACGCAAGTATAATAAGTGTGTTTAACTAATGAAATTTGAACTGATTTCAAACTAATCATTTATACGCCACAACTGTCTTTGTTTCGGTTCTACTCCCAAGCCGAATCTAGAATCTAGATAGATTGTATAGATGTTAGTGACTCACAGCATTATTCATTGCGTTACAACGCTCTTACAAACAAGAAAAAATTTAATAATTTAATTAGAAAAGATACAAATTATGAGTCCATGTCGGTCTTCATTAATATTTGTTTTTTGAATATAGTAGAAAACCCTTCAATTCAACTTCTTGAATAAAGTTTAAATTCATTTGTATACGATTTATGTTTGTTACTTCAAAAATTTAGCAAAAGGCGGAACAGCCAGCATGAATATTCACATAGCCAAAACTGAATTCATTCAGAAATATTTGTTATATATACAACAATTTTTACCAGCTATGTTTTGGATATCCCGTTTTCATATTAAATTGCTTACTCATAGTATTGATTTATCACCCCATGTGTGAGAACTTTCTCCCTATGGTCGATAATATACGACGGTCCCAGACCAACCCGCGTACGCCATCTTCTATGCGCGACGCTGTTCCGCGTAGTTGAGAGAGTGGTAGGATTTTAAGGTTACGCTCGTGAGTATGCTAAATTGGTGAATTACATGATTATACGTGTAGAAAATATCGCCCATGTTTGTTAGACCCGAGCATCACTTGGAGAAAGATGGCGGAGTATGTTTTCCATAGTAAACATATCAAATCTCGACATTTTGTGAGAACTTGTTCCCACTCAACATTTTCATAACATAACCAACATCAATAATTATAGACACTCTGAAACAAACTCATGAAGCCATTAACAGATGCATATCACGAAGCCTCAAGTAGATATTGCCGAATTGATCTTCGTTTTATTATTTTACATGAAAAGTTTTTGGTACAAATGTTATGCATGGTAAATACACCATATTTTGAATAATTGTTTGTTGAACATTTTTTGGCCCTGACCTAAATATTGTTGGATCTGTTGGGGTTCTGTCCAATAAACGTACATGCATAATATTAGTTATAGGTTGCAAAATATGATCATGTTGTCGGAATCACTCGTGAGTCATCCATCTAAGAAATTTTTTTTGTTGTTGCTGAAATTTTAGGGATAGCATGAAAACAGGCAAGTGGGGCACGAACATCTCGTTTAGTCTATAAGAAGGTTTCTCAAATGGGAACCTCTGCCCCCTTAGGAAGCCCCGGAGCGTTTACCTGGAAGCCATGAGCAAATGCTCTCACTGCGTACAATCAGCGACGACCACGTTGATTTAAACTGAACTGATGGATATTCCTAGTTTCATTGTAACCGCTCATATTTTGTAGTACAGTCCCATTCACCCGCTAGTTGGTCATTTTATCGAAAATCGTGTTATTGCACCACAATTAATCTGTGGGAATGATGTCAGTGGACGGCATGCTGCAGGGTTCTAGAAATTTCTTGTTTGGCCTGAGAATGTGATTTTTGGTTTTATAGCTAGTGAGAGACTTATGGACCTTTCCCTGAGCATCAACTTCCTTGTTTATTTTGTGACATTGGCCAATCAGCGAGATGCAAAGAGCACGTAACAATGCTCCCTTTTCGCATCAGCTCAGACACTTTTCTCACTCAGACAGATTTTCAAGCATGGTCGTAAACATTACCTCGTTTTTAAACTCTATTCGTTAGTTTTCAGTTGTGTTTCGGAAACTTAAATAAAAATCAGATAATTCAATTATCACTCTGTCTTCCTAGAAGTTTTAATTTAATTGCAGCAATAAAAAATTAGTGTAGAAAAAGCTGTGATAGACTAGGCTAAAATTCTTTACCGGTACTTTCAAAAAACAGATTGTTGTATGCAATGAATCATAACGATGGTTTGAAACACATACCCCATTTCACAGGCGCCATCTCGCAAAAGCACTCTTAAAATAGCCCTGAAAATTTTGCAATGGTAAAGTATAGGAAAATTTTTCGGGGGTCAAAGGTCGGGGAAAGGTCCATAGGATAATATGGTTAATTTAATTATATATACAGTATTTATACTGATAATAATTTTTTTTTAATATTCTTCACAGTGGTCAATGTAATATATTCGAAATAATTCAGTCAAGTTATTACGATATAAAGTTCAAGTTATTGCATGGCGACTATTGAGGGCACAGCGTCAAGTGAGATTATGTACAACGATTTTTTACTTTAGTATTTGGTATTGACCTATCCGTATACTCTATGTGGGCAGAGCTCTTCATAATTTAGTTATAATCAAGACTCAGCCACATCAATCAGTGAAGTTTTGCTCAATATTAATTGTATATGTGGGAAGTATCATAGCGTTAAGACTCGGAAACATCTTTTTAAAAAAAAATTTTGATGACAAATAAATAATATTGCGGAAATAATGTTATGTTATGCATAACATTATGTTATATATATGCATAAATAATGTAAATGTTATGTGCAATTGACTCTTTCATTCTTTGAAATATTAATTTAGTTTTGTTGCCATAGAAGCTCGATACTGTTTGGGTAGTTTGCGCATTTCCTGGAGTTGCAACGTAGCCTACTGTCACGCAAACTTCATCCTTACGGTGTCCAAGGTCGTGAAAATGCTCTACTCGAAAATTACCTACAAGGTCGAGTCCACTATGTGGAAATAAAAATGATCGTTCTGAAGTGTTACCTTATAAATGAAATGAGGCTATGATTGGATGCTCTGTAACAAGCTCACTACCAATATGTAAAATTTCAAAGTAGTCCATGTAAGCCCAAGCCGCGGACTTGAATCTATTCCATCGTACAAATATTTGAGATTGAACATACACGACCGCTTTCAGTGGGACATACATGCATGTCAAAGAATTGCGGAAAAAAACTTTCACACTCAGTAGGTATATGCACCAAACTTCAACATTATGCAAAACGACCTACACTAAACGTAGTCAATTATTCACTTATATTCCTAAGTAATTTTGGTCAGTAATTACAAGAATTGTTAAAGGGAGCACGAATTATGTTCGGGTATGGTACGTTCATAATTAATTTTTTAGTAAATACTTTTCAGGAACCCCGCGATATCCTACTTGTCTTACACTTGTCCTGCTCGTTTCAAAGTTGGCCTGCTTTTCCCACACTTTGAATTTCGTCCGAATTAACTTTGTTTACAAAGTTACGCATCGTCCGTTTTTACATTCGAAAGCTGCTTCTTAAATATATATTTATTGAACGCGTATATGATCACACCACGTTGATGACACTGGTTTCGCATATAACTTGCTTCATCATACTTGTATTGCTTGTCATATACTTTCTCAGTTTGCCCCACTTTTTACCGCTTGTTTCACACTAGTCTTGTTTTATCTAAAACATGTACTGCAAACCTGATTACATGTCCGCTGGAACCGGTCTAGCAGACCACATATTCACGCTTCAGTGGTTCGCCTGCGATTCAAATCCGTTCTATCGGTCCAGAACATCAGACCTCCTATTTAGGAGGTCTGAAACTGAGCTAACCGGTCTTGCTCAGTTGCTTCGCCGTGCTGCTCGAGAAATCGTGAATCACCGTGATCGAAGGAGGTACGGAAGTTGTTTTCTTTTTCATCTCTGGTAAGTGAGTTGCTTTTTTAAACTAATAAAAATTCAGCTAGATAGGGCAAGTTTAATTTGAACATCTTCCTCATCTATTGTGTCGCTGCTGAACACAAATCTGAAATACCGGTACTGGTGGGATCCCGGCATATTGGCATGATAGGTTGTTGGTTTGAAATAGAGAATTAAATCTTGATGTACAAAGATTTATTGGTATAAACTGAGCGCAGTACGACTTCAGTTTGCATTGAGAATTCTTTTGGAATTGCACCATACAGCTATACCGCATCCTAGCTGGTAGCGGTACAATTACGGTACATACCGGTACCAGCATAAATACAAAGCTTCAGTGTCGATAACGTTGCAGTAGTAGGGCGATATTAAAAAATGAAAGTGCTTCTGTTTACATATGATGAGCCCACTTTGCACAAGTGTTTGGTTGATAAAATGTAATTGTTTTAATTTGGTTTCCAGTCTACCAGTAGACTACTGGTAACTGTAGGCCTACTGTGATTTTTGAATGGATCGTGTGGCGTAAGGTGTCAGTAGTCTGCAGTGTTGAACGCTGGATGGTCGGCCAAAATTATCTAAATCGTCTATCTTTTATGCCCTCAATAAATTTGTCGTTTTGTTCTTAGATTGTGGACAAATTTCAACGGGAAAGCAACCTCTCCATCATCATATTCTGCAAATAACTTCAAAGAATTTAAATCAAGGACGTGCATTTAATTTTGATACTTTAATTAACATTTGTATTGAATTTATGAATTTATTGAAAATAAAATATATGCAGTGTTTGCAAATCATGACTTGTTTATATTAATCCGGCAACTCCAAAACTGTTTTCAGCTTGTTGGTTTGGGCATGTAATCGAGGCCACTAAGTAGTCTCCGAGACCACTTTGACCGAACCGGTTCGCTGGACTGGTTTTGACGGACATGTAATCAGGCCTAATTGTTCTGCCAGTCTCTCACTTGTCAGGTTTGTATTACAAATGTCCCGCTTGACTAAAACTTGTCCTGCATGTCGGGCGTTTGTTTTGGCCTTTTTCGCATTTTTTCAGCTTTTCTCACATACGTTTTAATAGAATCAAACCTGTCGCGCTTGTCTTACATTTGACCTGCTGGCATCACATTGGTTCTGCTTGTCCCACATTTGACTTGCTTCACCCTACTTATATTTAATCTTACCATACTATACGTCCCGCTTTAGGCGAGACAGTCCCACTTTTTCGACAAGTCAGCCAAAAGTCCCGCTTTGGCGTTCAACCATCCAGCATAATACACGAACATGTTCTCGTTACTGTTGTTGCTGTGTAGCGCAACGCTAGCCTACTTACTGAAGGTGAATGCGTTATTTTGTTTGTTCCCGCTAACATTGCTAGCGAACGTATCACATGTAAAATCAATTTTAATTGGTCCTGTTCGGACGTTCACGTAAATGTAACATTGAACAACGTCTTTTTGAAGGTGTTATCTACAGAAAAGCATGCTAGAGCGAATAAGTAAATTCTCAATGCTTGAAAACGGCAGACTATTTCAATATTCCTTATTCCATTTGCTGTACATAGAAAAATCTAAATTCGGATCATTTGTATCGTTAGCGTCTATTTCTTTAGACAGAGAATATACGCATGGACTCTCGATGACAATATGGTCAATGAAGACAGCCAGGATGGCTATAAATGTAGGCCTGTGCAGTTAAATATGAACTGTAAAGTTACAGGATCACAGCTAGGGGTTGTGTCTTCGGAGGCGTCCCGCTTTAAAGTCAAAAAAATATGGTAACCCTACTTATATTGCTTGTCCCATATTTCTCCTGTTTGTCCCACTTGTTCACACTAGTCTCTATTGTCTAAAACTTGTCCTATGTATATTGCGAACATGGTCTTCTTGATTTTTATTTGTCAAGCTTGTCTCATACTTATACTGCTTGTCCCAAACCAGATTGAATCAAATTTGTCGTGCTTGTCTCACACTTTTCCTGCTGGCATCACACGAGTACATTTGCGCCCACTCACATTTGCACATTTGTACTCATGTGCATATTTGCACCCACAGTTATGTTCGTTCGCAATAACTTTGTTTCAGAAATAATTTAATTACCAGGTAATTACTATAAATATATAATGGAAATGGAGAAATCTTGCAATTTATGAGTATCCTTTTTTCTTGTTTCGGGTCGCTACGGTTTTAAAATCATTGCTAGCTACAATCCTATCCCACTTGATTACGATACTATAGCGGTAATGCACTATAGACTTGGCACGATCGACTACTTCGTTTTTTGCATTTGTGTCCATATATTTGAGCATCGTTCTCTTGTTGTTAGTGTTTTTGGTATTCTTCTTTCCGTTGGACGAGACGTGTACATATGGGTTATTGGACACGTCAGTGGACATAACGATCGTTTCAACAATATGTTGTTGTTCTTGACACGTTTTTATAATGTCGCTTTTCTCTTTGATTACTGGACCAATTGCTTTGAAATTTTCAGTAGTTAAAGATAGATTTTTTTCCTAGAAGGCTATTACTTTTATTAATTTCAAATATTAATTATATTAATAATTAATAATAATAATTTCCTGTGAGCTTTATGGGATTCGTTTTCATTTTGAGCTATGACGTCATCAGAATTTGCCACCACGTGGCGATTCCGCAAACACATATTGATCACGTGATCAGCAAACAGGTTCCGTGGTCAAGCCTGCTGGTAAGTTACCGTATACCATACCACAGTAAATTTCAGCCTAACGTTTCCATATATTTGAGCATAACTCTCTTGTATTGTTATTATTTTGTTGGCGTTCATCTTGCTACTTGAAATTTGTCTGTGGGCTCTATAGCAGCGATCGGAAACCTGCGACTCTTTGTTTTTGGAGCTCCGGCTCCTGTGTATCAATGTGGTCACAGCAGTATTTTTGTTAGAAGGAGTGGGAAGTCACTAATTACCAGTGGCGGCGCGTGGTCATTTTGACAACCGGGGCAAGCTACTGCGGGACCAAGTCACCCCCATCTACGGGGACAGGATGAGCGCTGTAAGTTCTCCCACCATTTTATGAGTATAAAAACCATTCCATCGGTAACAACCAATCGGCAAAAACGACAATTTTTAACGATAAGAAAGTGTTTAAAACCGGTCCAAGTAAAGGGATTAATAAATATAGACATAGTTTATTTTGAAACCTCTTTCAAAATGAAAGGCAATATTTACCCAGATAAATACAATGACATATTAACAGAAACTTCGGGAAAGCAGACAAAACCTAAAATAAGGTTTAAAACTTTACTATGAAGAAAGAAAAGTTAATGCAAAGATAAGGACATGCGTCGCTCACTCATGGATATATATGCTGATAGACTTCTACTGCTTGAACATATATGCAACACGCCGCGGTTTCTTGGAAGCCAAATGCTCAATAACGCGCTGATTAAAGTCATGCATCCCAGAAATAACGTCTCTGTGAATGGATAAAACAGCCAAGGAATTTAATCTATCTTGCTTCATTGTGTTTCTGAGATACGTTTTAATACGCTTCAGCGTGCTGAATGTTCGCTCTGCGTCGGCGGGAGAAATAGGCGTCGTCAAAATGATGTCCAGAAATTTTGCAGACGCCGCAAAGTTACTAGAGTGTTATCTATGAGGAACCCATAGAGCGCGCAAGTTGATGTGATGTTCAAAAATTTTTCAATTTACCCACGTTTATCATGAGGTAAAATTTGGAGACAGTAGCCAACAAATGGATGGGAAATTGACGTGCAAATTTTGAAAAATTTTTGGGGTTCATCAAAGAGAACGCGGCAAGGTGTTCAGTGCGTTGACGATCGCATATTTGATTCACCAGAATGTCACAGCATTCCTTTGCAGACAAAATCAAACACTGCGTTGTTTGCCCGCGGCGTAAAGAAGCACTCCATGTGTCGTCGTATTTTATTGTTTCCCGGATACGAGATACAGCATCGCAGAAGTCTGAAATACACGACTGCACAGACGCTCCATCCATTAGCCTTGACTGCAATGCGCCGTATAATACATCCACGTGATAGAATATTGTGGAGAAAAAAGCGAGAAAAAATGAAAACTCACCATCTTCTAGCAGACGCTTTAGACCTGCCGCCTCCCTCACATTCGTCCCAAACCGGAGAGCTCTGAATGCCACTGAAACACTCAATGAGCTCAGACCTAATTTCGGACACGCCCTGCACCACGCGTGATTGGAAGTTCCAACGTGTTGGTGCACAAGCTGGGAGACGGCGGCTACATATCTGGCGAAGGAGGTCAGAGCGCTTCGGCGAAACGGAAAAAAATGAAGAAAACCCCGAAACATTTGCAAAAAATATACGGACGAGAGGGGTATCAAGACACATATTTTTAATAACGAGGTTAAATTGGTGTGCATAACAATGTAAAAAATGCGCATGAGGAAAATCTTCTTTTATATAAACTTGAACACCATGTTTCGACCCACTCATGACTGCCGCGCCGTCATAAGTTTGAGCTATCAATTTTGACTTCGCGTTGTAAGGCTGTAACACTTCTTTCAGTACAGCCGATATCCCGCAAGCCGTGCGATCAACGATTGGTACAAAGCTGTGAAATCTCTCGGTAGGTTTACCATCTTTCACAAACCGAAAAATCACAGCCAGTTGGGAAACGCAAGTGATGTCAGTTGTCTCGTCAGACTGAATCGAAAGGAACTGGCAATTCTCAAATTCCAGAGCCAAATGTTGTAAATAAATTTTATACATTGAGTCGAGCAAATCATTTCGGATATCCTTAGATGTCCCTTTCGAAACAGTTGCGGCATCAAGATGATCTCTCAATACTGTATCTAGGGATGCGGTGTATTCCACCATATCCAAAAATACCCCTCTATTAGAAGAGCCAGCCCGTTCATCGTGCCCACGGAGGGACAGCTCGTGACAACCAATGAACTTCAACATCTATCAATCGACCGAGAACATGGCGGTTTTTCTCGACGTTTTGGTTGTGCCGACGAATAGAAACTGCGCGTCCTTCATCCAACTGTGCTGCAATATTAACATTTCCGAATGTTCGGTATTTTACTGCATTGTCCAGATGCTCCATAGAAGATTGATGATCCCTGGCACGCTCGGAAAGATGTTTAAGATCTCTAAAACCAAATTTACACCAACGTGAGTCACGGGCGGTAGCAAAAAGTAGGCAATAAAAACAAAAAAGTGCATTTTTGTCCTCGCTGTAACACAACCATTCGTGTTTTTTATACCAAGTTTCTGCGCAGAATGTACGCCGACGCTTTCCTCCGTCATGGGATTGTTCCAGTACACAATTTTTTGGTTGATAAGGCCCAAGACGTTGTACCTCTAATTTTTGTTCCAGCGGCAGCTGCGAAAACGGAGTGCGAAGTAGTGCATCAACCTTATTCATTATGAGGTCTAAGGCTAAGAAATGCGAAGCCGGAAAGAAGTGAGGAGCTCAAAAGGAATGTGGAAAATCGAAATCAAATGGACTAAAGGTCTCTAACTGATTCAAATAGCGAAACAAGCGACAAAAACGAAGGCGAGGAAACTATCAACTCTTCAAGCAACCAACGAACGAGAAGGAATGCGTGAATATGTCAACACGTTGTTGTAAGAAACGTCGGCATTGTGTCGTCATAATTTCGGGGCTAGCCCCGATCGGCCCCGATGATTTAGTAAAAGAAACAGAAAACAAACGAGACAAACGCGGCGAGTGGAAGATAAAAGAGAGAATACGATATACAATGAGCAACTGGGGCAAAATCGGCGTCGCCCCGTCGACGTTCGGCGAAGGCTTTGCGAGCG